CGTTTCTTTCAACTACCTTCGATGGCGGACAAGCTAGCTCTCCCTCTTCTTCTTCCAAGCACTCCTTCCTCAAAACCCTTGTTTCACGACCAACTCTCTAGAGCTCCCTTTCTTACTCCGTCACTTTCCTCACTACCACCGTCTCCTCCTCCTCCAGTAGAACCACTCCTCCACGATGCTTTCCTTCACCAAAGCCCTAATTCCAGACAACCCATTACCCCACACACCCCGAGAACCCGTAATCGAACGAGAATCGGCAAGTCACGCGACCCTAACCTCGGTAAACCTTGGTCTTACCATGGCCTTTCTCCACAAGGTCAGCGAATTCTCCATTCCTTAATCGAACCTTCTTTCGATTCCGGTCAACTAGACGCTCTACTCTCTCAGTTATTCGAGCCCTATAAAGATAATCCGGTGGAGTCGCCGCCTACTTCCTCGGAATTACGAGCTCTGCTTAAAGGATTAGGATTTCATAAGAAATTTGATATGGCTCTGTGTGTGTTTGATTGGTTTATGAAGCAAAAGGATTATCAATTCATTTTGGATAACTCTGTTGTTGCTGTAGTTATTAGTATGTTGGGTAAAGAAGGCAGAGTCTCTTCCGCTTCGAATTTGTTCAATGGTTTGATGGAAAACGGGTTTTCGCTTGATGTTTATTCGTATACCTCGCTGATATCGGCGTTTGCCAATAGCGGAAGGTACAGAGATGCTGTTATGGTGTTTAAGAAGATGGAGGAAGAAGGTTATAAACCGACTTTGATTACATATAATGTTGTCTTGAATGTGTTTGGGAAAATGGGTACTCCTTGGAATAAGATTATGTCTCTTGTGGAGAAGATGAAGAGTGACGGGATTGCTCCTGATGCGTATACGTATAATACGCTTATAAGCTGTTGTAGACGAGGATCTTTGCATGAAGAAGCTGCGCAAGTTTTTGAAGAAATGAAGGATGCAGGGTTTAGTCCTGATAAGGTTACTTACAACGCGCTATTAGATGTTTATGGGAAATCTCATCGGCCCAGGGAAGCTATGAAGGTTTTGAATGAGATGGAGCTTAGTGGATTTACCCCGAGTATTGTGACTTATAACTCCCAGATATCTGCATATGCGCGGGATGGAATGCTGGATGAGGCAATGGAGCTTAAGAACCAGATGACGGAAAAGGGGATGAAACCTGATGTTTTCACTTACACAACTCTTTTATCGGGATTTGAGAGGGCTGGGAAGGTCGAATCTGCTATGAGTATTTTTGAAGAGATGAGAAATGCTGGGTGCAAACCGAATATTTGTACTTTTAATGCCTTTATAAAGATGTATGGTAACAGGGGAAAGTTTGCTGATATGATGAAGATATTTGATGAGATCAACGTGTGCGGTCTCTCCCCCGACATTGTCACTTGGAATACACTATTGGCAGTCTTTGGCCAAAACGGGATGGATTCAGAAGTGTCGGGTGTATTCAAAGAGATGAAGAGAGCAGGCTTTGTACCCGAAAGGGAAACTTTCAACACCCTAATCAGTGCGTATAGCCGATGTGGTTTGTTTGAACAAGCTATGACTGTTTACAGGCGAATGCTTGAAGCTGGGGTCACTCCTGACCTTTCCACCTATAACACAGTGTTGGCAGCTTTGGCTCGTGGAGGAATGTGGGAACAATCTGAGAAAGTTCTTGCAGAGATGGAGGATGGTAGGTGCAAACCGAATGAGTTAACTTACTGCTCTCTACTTCAGGCATACGCGAATGGCAAGGAGATAGGTCGGATGCATTTTTTAGCGGAAGAAGTATATTCTGGAGTTATTGAGCCTCGAGCTGTACTTTTGAAGACCCTAGTCTTGGTTTGTAGTAAGTGTGATCTTTTGCCGGAGGCTGAACGTGCATTCTCTGAGCTCAAAGAAAGAGGTTTTTCACCAGACATACCTACATTGAATTCCATGGTCTCCATATATGGAAGGAAGCAGATGCTGGCAAAGGTGAATGAAGTCTTGGACTACATGATCGAAATGGGTTTTACACCGACCTTGGCGACCTACAATAGCCTCATGTACATGCATAGTCGGTCTGCGGATTTTGGGAAATCAGAGGAAATCTTGAGGGAAATACAGGCTAAGGGGATCAAACCAGATATCATATCGTACAACACAGTCATTTACGCCTACTGTAGGAATACTCGTATGAAAGATGCTTCTAGAATATTTGCAGAGATGAGAGAGTCAGGGATTGTCCCTGATGTTATCACCTACAATACGTTTATTGGTTCTTATGCGGCTGACTCAATGTTTGAGGAGGCCATCGGAGTTGTTAGGTACATGATCAAAAATGGTTGTAGACCAAACCAGAACACCTACAACTCGATTGTTGATGGATACTGCAAGTTAAACAGGAAAGATGAGGCAAAGCTGTTTGCCGAAGATCTGAGGAATCTTGATCCGCATGCTCCCAAAGACGAAGATCGCAGGCTTCTGGAACGCATAGGGAAGAAATGACCATTAGATAATTGGGGTTGTATGGCAAGGGATGTTGGTCGTGTCTGCTTATATCTCAATAAGCATTATCTGCTTATATACAATATCCGCAGCTGACCCGTCATCATCGATTTACTTGTACAGATCAACTTCAGTTATGAAACTGTATAGGCCGTTGGTGGTTTTTGGTTAGTGAATGCTCACTGGATCACCCATGCTGAAGCTCTGCTTCGTTTTTCCTTGTGGTTTGGCAGAGGATGCTGCACGAGAAAGCTTATATTTCCGTGTATAAGAGCATTGGCTCGGAAAGGAGAGATCTTTAAGTTTTGATGTCAGGCTAAAGAAGAATAGTGATTGATATGTAAGATTAGTTATATGTTTCCAGACATGTATTGTAGCTTATGATATTTTCTCAATGCTGGCAAAAGAAATAGTTTCTGTATAAGCAAATATGAGATACAAATTAAGTAATTGATACGAAATCATTACAAGTAAAAGTGAGACTTCCTTGTTATAAAACCTCGGAGAAAGACCAAAGGTTATAAAGATAAATTGGCATTTGTAAAAGTGAAACGCTTCCCTAAAACCTCAGGGAAGTAACACAGGCGGAGCAGAAAATGAGCCGGGCTTTGTTGAGAAACGTCGCCACCGACGCCGCTCGGCTCATACGGCGGAACACGGAGGCAGACCCGTTTGGTAAGAGCGGCATGCGAGTGCAATCGAGGCCTCAGCATTACGGGAGAGCAAAGCAAACCGGACTTTCACCA